GATCGGGGCTTCAAAACCAGGGCCACAGGTGAGGATTGGGGCCCCGACACCGGGGCCACAGGCGAGGATCGGGGCTTCAAAACCAGGGCCACAGGCGAGGATCGGGGCTTCAAAACCAGGGCCACAGGCGAGGATCAGGGCTTCAAAACTAGGGCCACAGGTGAGGATCGGGGCTCCGACACAGGGGCCACAAAACGGCCCATCCTATCAGGAAGACCACTAGCTAGGCTTGCACTCCGGCTCCATATCCCCCGAGCTGTCCAGACAGGATGCGAGCTTTGAAACGTGCTTTCGTTTTCAACCGAACAGCACTGAAACGCTCCAGCCGAATAGAAAGAAAGTGGGTCATTTTAAAAAAAAAATTCTGACACGCCGGTGTTTTCCCGAAAAGACTCTCAACGCGGCGTTATTTCCCCTTGCTGTTGCTTCGCAGCCGAAGGAATCTTTCTTCCTCTGAAGCTACGGCGAACCTCAGTCCCCGTCAGGACTGTCCCCGGAGATCCTCCAGTTCGCGTTTCTGGTCTTCCACAGCCGTCTAGCAAAGAGAGAGTCAAGCCGAGACAGGACTAGTGGCCGTTAACATCGATGTGAACTGAACGCAGAAACGCGCGCTGGTTTGGCATTTCCCGGGAGAAACGTTTGGGTTTTTGAGCTGATAAGATGCCACTGATCTCTGGGCTGATGAACCTGAGCTGTTTTGGGGGGTGTTCAGGGGGGTTCAGCCATCACACTGGAATAAGCGACTACACCAGCACGTCCAGGCCTCGAGCCTAGGGGTTGTGTGCACTCTGGCTTGCCCCAACACAGAACTCTCTCCTGATCCACATTCGTTAGGGCGGGAAACCTCTTCAAACACCCGTCTCAGTGCAACGGACTGGAATTCAAGCAGGAGCCCAGCTGCCTGCTGCTCCGAAGGACATTTTAGAAGGAAGGACATTCTATGCTATTAACTATATCCTAACGTTGTTTTCCTTTTCAAGTACTTCCCCGTGTTGCAAATAATGTCAGTATAAACACCCAAGTTCTTCGTTTTTCAGATTCTGCTTTTTAAGTTCATGCTTTTGCATCCACATTAGCTGGCCTGGTGCCCACGACAGGCGCAGAGATGGAGGGCTCTCACACAGGGACTGCAAAACCTCTACTGAGCGCAGTGAGAAAGCACCTGCTCACAAATCACACAACACTGGGGCTCCCATTCCTGGGACCCCATTCCTCTTCTCAAGTCTTGGGCTGATGAGGGATCCACGAGACGTCCCCCCCCCCTCTTCCCCCTGCAAAGCGTCTCATCCCGGAGCTCAGGGGCGCAGCCGAGATCACGACTGCCGTCTTCCGCTCCGGCTGGCACTCAGAGCACGTGCCCTACAAACCACGTGCCCAGGACCGAGCAGAGAGAGAGAGAGAGAGACGGAGAGGAAGTCAGGTAGAGAGAAAGACAGGTAGAGAGTGAGACGGGTTTGAGAGAGACGGGCAGAGAAAGAGACACACTGGTAGACACATGGAGAGAAAG